AATGTCTATATATGTATATATTAAATATTTTATTATATTAGATAAATATTATTAAATTTCTAAAAATGCTATTAAATTACTAAAATACTATTAAATTACATTATACATATATATCTCTACGAACAAAATAATATATTGAATAATTTATACTAAAAATTCGTGTTCTCAAAAATTGCTTTTAACAAAAGTTCGTTTACATTAAGATATTTTTATAATGACGAAATATTCAATGACTAATAATGAATAAAGTTTCAAGAATAATTAATTAATTTTTCCATGTTGAATTAATAGCAGTATTTTTATGAACCAAAAGTGATCCAATTTTCTCTTTAATACAATTATTGGACTCTCCACTGATTAATCATCAAAATATTGGGTGCAGTCATTAAACTATTGAATTACGATAATTATGTATCGGATATTAGTAGATCACTAACTTTTTTCCTCCAGCAGGTAAAACACCTGTACCTCCAGTATGATTCTGTTGAATGTAAGGTCGAGTCTCGAGTACTGTAACTCGGCCACCGGTAATAGCAGCTAAAGTTTCGGCAGTTTTCGTCGAGTCTGGCTGTTCTCCTGGCACTACGAACATCATTATGCGTGCTTCCATCACGATTCCACTGATGATTCGAATTTTGGTTTCACTTGAGAGATGAGGCACACCTGCCAAAATTTATAACATCCATGATGAATGAGAAATTGAATAAATTTTATTTTTATTTTTATTTTAGTCTATGTATTTTAACAATATAGACATTTCATAATGATTTCACAGTTTTGCTGATTACTGCTTTTCCAATTAAAATTGCAACTGTTTTATTATCTTTTCTCTTAATATTTATGAATTAAAAATTTTTATCTGATTAAAAAGCAGGGTAAATTAATGAAATATTTATATAATTCTTAATATAAAAATTTTGAAGAGAGATTTTAGAAATTTACTTATCAATTGACCACCAAGTTAATATAAAAAGAAATTATTCTTGTGTTTTCAGTTTTAAAAATGTAATTAAAATTTAATTTCTTATATAATTTTCTATATTATTATTTTTAATATAAGTATAATTTTTATTACATTCTAATAAATCATTAACAATTAAATATACATTTTGATATTAAAAAATACATATTCAATTATGTTACTATTGATAATTGCTAACAAATTTAATTATTAACAATAGTAAAGTGCTTTAAAGCCAGTTTTCATAATGACATAATTTATTAATTGTTATTGACAATATATTACAAATTTATTGTTTAAAAATATAATTTAATTCAATGTTTAAAAATATATTTAATCATAACTGTAAAGACTTCTTTCAAAAAATTTTGATAATTCTTGTTCTTGATATTATTAAAAATATAGTTTTCTCAGTTTACCTAAATCATATGCTCTGGCAGTGATAGTGTAGAGTGCATTATCATTATCTCGTTTTCGTCGTTTCTTTATCACCTCCATCATCATTTCTTTGGTCAAATTTCCCAAATTAATTCTCTTTTGATCATTCACTAATGACTCATTCTTGCTCTCACGATTAGTCACTATTAAAGAATTGTCTTGTGTACCTCCTTGGCTATTAACAAATTTCGTGCCAGCTTTATTTGAATATTTGTCATATGCACTCTGCTTCTTCCGTCTAATTTTTGTAATGGGAGAGAGAAGTATTATTTCGCCACTCGTTTCGTTTAAATAAAATTTGTTCTCGTAGTTTCCGTGAACTAATTCGTATCTAACTACATTGTTGGGTGGCTCTGCGTCAGAATCAATAGCCTGTAAAGTACATCCTCTATTTAATTCGAATTTGTTCATTCATATTTTATTGTATTATTATATTAAAAATATGAAACATTTTCTATAGCGTAACATTTCATAACAATCATGGTGTAACTATATAACTATAGTATCATAATTGATAAAAAGTATTACAATAGAGAAATGCAAGTAAAGACAATTTCTTATTTTTGTAGTATAATAATTAAAAAATTTAAAATTGTTTCAAATAACAATATAATAATTAATTAATTCTTAAGAGGAGTCACATAAGTAAAATAAATATTAAATTTAATTTAATTTATATTATGAGTACAATTACTAAAATTATTATAGATTTCTACTAGAGTATATAAATTGTTAGAAGATCATTTATAAATAACAAAATAATAATTAGAATCTATATATAATAATAATTACAATTTACATTGTGAGTACAATTACTAAAATTATTATAAATTTCTACTAGAATATATAAATTGTTATAAGATCGTTTATAAATAATAAAATAATAATTACAACCTATGTAATAATATAAAATAATAATTTTTGCATATTAGCATATGGTGTACGAATTATTATAAAATTTAATTAATAGTGAAATTAATGTAATAATTTTGTATAAAATCGAAATTATTTTATTAGATTATTATCGTACCTTTATGAAAGCTGGCGATGTAAAATTAGTTAGATCGGAGTTCAACATAAATTCGTAAACGTCCCTTTCGAATATTGGCGCGTTATCGTTGACGTCCAGTAGATTAATTATTAGAGGAACAACACCTTTGTTACCGTTGCCATCCTCGTCTCGAGCTTCCACGGTGAGTACAAGTTTTGCTGCAACTTCACGATCTAAGGAAGATCCCACGGCGACAGTTATTAACCCTGTATCAGGATCTATGATGAAAGCCTCGCTACCTTCTCCTGTTATACCGGTGTATCGAATACTGCCGTAAACACCTGTGTCTTTATCGTTTGCATGCACCTATTGAGAAAAATGATACAGTACAATATATTTCTACAAATTTCTTCTAAAAATTCTTAAGATCAATTTTCTTTCTCATAATCAGTGCACAAAAATATACAGAACTATACTGTAGATTAAAAATGTAATTATTTGAAATAAATAAATAATTTATGATGAAATAAGGTTAAATAATCTGAATTAATATAAAATGGAATGAAATTGAATAAAATAAAATAACACAGCATGTGTAAACATAAATATGTGATATGTGTAAGAAAATTGTGTTGTTTAGTGAACAGAGAAAGAACAAATAAATATAAATTATTATTTTGTGAAGGTATAGAAAATTAATTGTTTCAATTTTAGTTAGATGAAAAATATATGTTTTACATTAATCTCACTATTTTGTTGAATAATGTGATATAATAAAAGAAAGAAGTAATTATGAAAGGAAGAATTATTTAATTGTCAATATTGTGAAATTTGAAATTGTTTTATTACCTGAATTACTCGTGATTCCGCAGTTACATTTTCAGATAAGGTTACTTCGTACGATTCTTCATCGAATATTGGAGGATTGTCGTTAATATCTCTTAAAAATATAGTAACTGGCACTGATGTTGACAGGTTTGTTGCTGGACCAACTTCCTGAGCTACAATCTGTTTATAATAAATACATATATAATCTACTTTTGTTTGTCATTATTTAACTAAAAAATTAACTAATTCATTAAATTGTTTTTTGATGAATATTTATTTAAATAAATTATACTCATATTCTAAATATTTATATCAGATATACTATACTCCTTGAGTGCAATGAAACGTTAGTGTCTTCATGTTTATTAATGTTATAATGAACTTATAATGAATTATAATTAATATTATAATGAATCGTGGCTAAGGAACATTTATGATAAATTCGAATGCAAGAAATGAGCGCAAATTTGGAACTAACTTAGGTCAGAGTGTTTTAAAATCAGTGTTCAAAATCAGTTCGAAGTTAACAGTTTTAAATCAGAAATCTTAGAAATTGGTTATAGAAAAGTTGTTAGAACGTTGCATAGAATAAATAATAACTAATTATTTTTGTTCTATTAAATATTATTATTCGCAATATTATTCTAGTCGATTCCTCTCAATACGATCCTAGATATACATATGTACATAATAATTTATACTCACCTTGAATGATAAAACTTTGTATAATTCGTAATCGATAAGCGTGTTATCTCGAACAGTTATGATAAAGTCTGCAGTGCGTTCAGCAACCGTTGGATTTACTTCAAAAGTATTGTTATTGTTTTCCAATTTCAAGGCAAACACTCCAGCTTTCCCAATGTCTTCGTCTTTTACTCTGGTGGAGTATGGTTCACCGAAATTTATCACAGTTCCAGGGTCAGGGTTTTCGTCTATCGTGGCAATATAACTATAACAAAGGAATACGATATTTTTTAATAGTAGGTCAAACATTTTTTCAAAGAAATTTTTGTACGTTAATAAATATAAATAAGATGAGATTTTTAAAATCGAATCACAGAATATTTTCAAAGAAAGGAAGGCTATATTAAGAAGTGTTAATAAATAAAATTGAAATATTTTAGAAATTTGAAAACGTGGATGAAAAGAAAATGGTAGGAGTATAATTGAAATTTGTTAATTTTTTGCAATGATGTAATTGTGAAATATTTGTAAAATTGAAGCGAATTAACTGGAAAGAAATAATTGCTTCCTCTTTATCAATGCTTCTAATTAAAATTTCAAGGACCACGATTATTCAATTTTTCAGAATATAAGAGAAATAAAGTACAGCAAAAGTGACTATCTAAAATGTTTCAATTTTGGTTGTCAATATTCCTATATATGAATTTCAAAAAAGAGATTTAATTTAAAAATTTTGATATGCTGCATCTAATATAATACAAAAATTTGAAAGTAATTTCTTAATTAACTCACATAACAATTAATATTCTAACATACTTCAATTAACAATTAACAAAAATGTTATAGAATTTAAGGTTTATTTAAAAATAGCAGATAATATGGCTCACTTTATTAAAAATTTCCTTTCTATTTAATTTATTAGTCAAAATTAATATTAATTTAAATTTCATTATTATTACAATTTCCTAAATACCTCTAGTTTCATAAATTCTAAAAGATGCTTATTCAAATACAATAAGATTCTTAATTAAATTCCATTTAAATTTGCAAGCTATTAATTAATAAGATATATCATATATTCATTTTATTATTGAATTATTTATTCATTTTATAATTCTATATTTATCAATAATACAAAATTGATGTGTAAAGAAACGAAGGAAGTCATAAATCATTTAGTATGACAATGTAAATTCTGTAACTCTCAAAGGCTAAAATTAATCCAAAATATGCATAAAATAAAGTTGCAATTAAAATTACAAACGAGCTCATACTTTCTCGCCTTTTTCTAAGAGAATGCAACTTATTTTAGATTTAGATAGGTGAAATCACCAAACTCTTCCAGAAATATATACACATAAAACTGTATCTGTAACTTACACTACATATTCATACAATACCTTATGTACATTTTGCACTTGCAAGCTGAAATAAACCTCAACCGAGGTTCTAATTGATCGATAAAAGAATAACTCCACACTTATTAGAAATGCAAATTATTCACGTCTCAGGTACCAACTTATCGCTCTCGAAGTACGGTGGACTGTTTCCTGGCTCCCCAAGGAGAAATCCAACATCGACCACTGTCGCCTGAGCCGGAGGTTCTTCTCTGCTTCTTCTTATTTCTTCGGCAACCACTGTGAGCACAACTGGAGCCCCAACGTGTGTGATTTGCGTCAGCTCATCCAAAGGTTTGGCAAGAGTGATTTCACCTATCAATTAAATATTTATACTTCAATTAACAATTACAGATTATATAGACAATTATATATTATATAGACAATTATAGATTATATAGACTAAATATTGAAACAAAAATGAAAAATTTACTGACAAATAATTCACTTTTCTAATTTCTTGCATTTAATTCTAATTCAATTTAATTCTAATTTCTGTCATTTAATTCTGATTTTATTATGAAATTAATATTTATTAGTTATATTAATTTATATTTTATTAACATAATATTAAACAAATATAAATATTATTATTATGTTTATTTAATAAATATTATATAAATAAATATGAAAAGGGAAAATGTAATATACGGTTAGAACAGAGGAACGTATTGAATAAATTATTATAAATTTTGTTCATTAGGTAAAATAATGATTTAAATAAATCATTTATTTAATTTCGTTTATTTGTGCAAACGAAAAAATTTTATTATAGCTTTCGTGATACTTGAAATAGCATTGAACGAATCGTTAAAGAGTCGATGTTCGACTCCATTGTTCGATTATTATTCACAAGTTAATTACACGTTGAAACGGTACGCGACGTTAGTATCGAATTACTTTTATTACGAATTATGAATAAAACATTTCGGTCAATGATCCCTCTTGCTTATATATGACGTACAAAGCACGCATGTCCAGTGGCGGAAACTTTCCATAACACATCACGAAATGGAGTTGAACGGAAGGAATTGCACCTATTAACATACATTATGGCGTACCACCTCCTTATCCTGTACTTACGCTATTCTTTACTCGTTATGTACACCACTCTTTTCTTAATTTCGTTCTTCCGTAATTGTGGCTGAAGTACGTCGTGCAGTTATTGATTCAATGATACACTTCTTAGCTTTATTTGAAAAAAAGTTACCAATGCACTGTAATCAAGAACATTCTCAAACTTCGGAAAACATAGTTGAGAGAAGAGGTTATTATGACCAGGTGAAAAAATATCGTGAGTAACAATCTCAATTTGTTATTCACTTAGCAATTTTTATAATATTTTTCATCCTTGAGGTTAATTTGGTTCAGTTTTATCACATTGTAGTTGGTACTGTTATACTATTTATAAATACAATTTTTAATTAGTGATTGTTGATATATGAAGATAATAATAATGTCTTAATATTTTCATGATTAATTTATTATTTATATGAAATTGGAATTGTGTTTGATATTAATGTTTCTTTGAATTTTATGATTTGCTAGCTTGCTGTGTTTGCGATAACGAAACCAATATATATTACAATATCAGAGAAAATAGAATAGTGTTTCTATTACCCAACTAATCCATTCTATTACCCACAAAAATTATTCACCTTTTAAAATTCACTGTATGCAAATAATATCTTTAATTATTCATTTCTCCCATTTTTCATTTAAAAACTGTACCTTTAAATAACAAATAGTAAATATCAATCAAAAATTCTATATAAAGTTAGTATTAATTAATATACTAAATTTTTCATTTCTTTCTGTAAATTTGACACGTTTATTTACCTCCATTCATTAACTATAATAAATTCAAATTAACATTTAAGAATATACTAGACTGTGGAATAAGATACACCCAAATTTCAATACTCCACACAACTATTTTCATTTATATCCAAATTATTAGTAGGATTGTATTCAAATAATTTTCTTAATTTCTTATAAACAATTATCTCTATTTATATTCAAGAAATACAGAAGAACCTCGATTATCTAAATTAATTGTGGGACTCAAGTGAGAACTTTTGAAAAATAGAATACATGCTTACCAGATTTTAATTTTGATATATCTGAAAACAGAAGGACCTAAATATCGTATATATATAATAAAAGTTATTACTTTTTATATTATAACTATTGTTATATATATACGATAATTGTGCGTTCATTTGTTATTACAAATGATAATTTCAAACCTAATTTACCTAAAAATTAACGGATCTCTTCATCATTAATTCGCATAATCTTACTATTAAATTCAAATTTGCAAAATTGTATACCTTTTATGTCATACATCATTGCGAGTCTCATTTCTAAAGCCTCAAATGCTCAAAAAAATTGGGGTACGTTATCAGCATTATATTCACGTTTCGTCTCATTATTCGAAACAAATATAAGACTGCTATCATGATCGATTAAAGAAGTTTCATCATATTAAGTACTCTGCTGTGATCGATGAGCCACCTTAAATTAAACTGACTTCAACAATAAATTTATCGATTATGAACCAATTAATATGGATACTTTTACAGATAAAAAGTATCTGGATAATAGAGTATGACAGAGTATAATTATAGTTTAATTGTAGAGTGTAAAAATTTAATAATATCAAATATAATTATATTTTTTATACTATAATATTGTCATATATAATTATAGCATGTATAATATAATATTATCATATATAATTATAGTATGTACAATATAATATTATCATATACAATTATATTAATGTGTTCATATAATATTATAGTAAAATATATTAATGTATTAATATTAATTAAAACATTAATATCATACTAACTATACTAATGTGTTCATGCAATATTATAATATAATATATCAATGTATTAATATTAATTAAAACATTAATACCATATTACAATATAATTTTTATAATATAATAGAATACAGTATAATCAAGAAAAGGGCACAGTATAATACAGAATTTCTACTATAGCATAGTTCTTCAGTATACTTAATCATCCCGTTAATAATACAGTGTTATAATATAATAACATCATTATATATAATTATATTTTGTATACTATAATATTGTCATATATAATTATAGTATGTATAATATAATATTATCATATACAATTGTAGTATGTATATACAACTATACTAATGTGTTCATGCAATATTATAATAAAATATATCAATGTATTAATATTAATTAAAACATTAATACCATATTACAATATAATTTTTATAATATAATAGAATACAGTATAATCAAGAAAAGGGCACAATGTAATACAGAATTTCTACTATAGCATAGTTCTTCAGTATACTTAATCATCCCTTTCTGAAGCCCTACACCTAATCGTACATAACTTTTACCCACAACAATCTCACGCGTCGCAATACCAGCAGTGGCCACAATAAATAAACATTTCGCGACACTAATTAAACAGTTAACTTCCTTATCCCCCACATTTGGCCCCGACACCACGCAAAATTATGACCAGCCATTTATGCTTTGCCTTCTTTACTGCTCCAGGCCCTGTCCATTTCTTTTCCACTGCCTTTCTCCGGCAACCGCGTCTACACGCGGCCACGAAGAGGTCGCATGCTTCGTGTCACGAAATGATAAGCATCGCAGCCTGAAAAGCAGAGACTGACCCCTAAGTACGATCGATACCCCGTTGTAGCCCGCGAAGACTCCCTGACCACGTCTATCGGGTTCTACCCTGGCCTCCTCGCCTCGCTTGTTTTTGGTTCCGCGGAAAAAATCCCTATCACCGATCTCAGACGCTGGACAACGCGTTTCGTGCTGCCTGTAATCTACCAAACAAGCGTAGAAAGTTCAGCCCGCTGTTTCACTACTCCCTGAATAACTTTCCACTCTTTTACAAGCCTCTGACAGACTCGGTTATATTCCTCGAAAATTTCTCATCGAAATTGCAAACTAGCTGATAGCAATTGATGTATGCTGGCGATCGAGTTGAGAGATAGGGTAATTGGGGTTTTAGGTTTTGGGTTTTGATTTTTGACAGATATTGATTTTTAACACGTGGTGGTCACCAATGACCTGTGCTTATATTCTCGTAATCAGTGTGATCATGGTGGTCACCAATAATTGGCGATTCATTTCCAAATTTATATTTGTTTCATTAGACAATAATTGGCTATTCATTTCCAAATTTATATTTGTTTCATTATGCAATAATTGGCGATTCATTTCCAAATTTATATTTGTTTCATTAGACAATAATTGGCGATTCATTTCCAAATTTATATTTGTTTCATTATACAACAATTGGCGATTCATTTCCAAATTTATATTTGTTTCATTATACAATAAGTGGCGATTCATTTCCAAATTTATATTTGTTTCATTATACAATAATTGGCGATTCATTTCCAAATTTATATTTGTTTCATTAGACAATAATTGGCGATTCATTTCCAAATTTATATTTGTTTCGTTATATCAATTTCTTGAACATTTGGATAATTTGAACAAGTAGACAATATTAATAATTTGCACTATTTTACAAATTTTTTGTCATATTGTTTGATAGTTCGTCACTATGTTCTAAGAATAATGGAAATATTATGGTAGCCAATATGTTGATGAGTGTTGTTGTCATGATTTTGGTATTTGGTAAGATGTAGGTGTATTTGATTATTTAATTCGGTAGTTGAAATTGATTTAATTGTATAATTTAGTATTACCTGAGTAAGGTATAGATTAAACGAAATGCCTGACGAGTTGCCATATTGGCTTGGATTGTTCTTAGACAACTATCGCGAATTATATTTCACGCAAACGAAAAAGTGGTCATTACGTGTATTCACTAGTGAAGTTAACGCTAAATAATTATAATTACAAAATAATTGATGGAAAAAGGTTATGAATTTGTTATGTCATTGCAATATAATTGAGGTCTTATTGCAATTCTCTCTACTTAATTTAGAATTAACAGTGCATTGAAATTATAATTGTCTATTATATTTCATTTTCTAACATCGTCATGCTGATCAATTAAATCCACAATTAATTTCAAAATTAGATTTAGATATAGCAGTATGACAATTTAAATAAAAATTATATATAGATGTAAAATATAAAGCTTCAAATATCAACCAAAAGCTGACAATACTATTCTTTATGTTATTTTATTCTTATTTAAAGTTGCATTAACATCTTTAGTTATGACTAATACTAGCAATAGTAAATAACTGATATCCTATTAGATCTTGAAGTGCACATATATTACATACATGTATACAGAGTATAGATTCACTCAAGATTTGAATTTTGCATCATTTGTGCGATAAATTGTTGACAATGAAAAGAAAAGACAGCGTGACAGCTGACAGTTTAGGGTTATCAAAAATGGAGCACTATATGGAAGAACAATACTTTATTGCTGAGCAAAATTTTTAATTTTTAATTAAAAACCTGTGAAATTTATCAAAATTAATTCTTGCGTGAATTTTTGGACACCCCGTATATAAATATCCTCCAAAAATTAAAAAAGTTCATTGTGTGTTCAATGGAGTTCGTTATCTCACTAAGGTCTTCTTTAATCTTATGATTCCTTCTACTATACTGGAAACTATTACATTTTAAACTTATACATCTCATATGCTGAGATCTTATAGTTCAAACATCTTGAAGTATTATCTCTCGGTGTTACATAGGTGTGAGTGAATGATAAGTGTAAGTATATGTTCATGTACTAGTAGATGATGGGTGTAAGTATGTATTTAGGTATGAATGGATGAATCTAGTCTGTCGTATTAATTTTCGTGTTATTTTAATTTGGTCATCCTACTCAATTTACTTAAATGGTTTTCCTTTTCCTTAAATTTCTCTTCAGCACTTTTGGATTTCGAGATATTCCAAAAAATATGCTTTCAACCCCTACCTTCGAGGACTGTTTTCACCCTTTTAATATGTACGATGGTCGATGAAAGAAAATACGTATCAAATATTTTTTCGAGAACTATTTCTCACATAAATGTCATCAAATATGTTCTCTTATTAGATCTGGTATATGCTCAGCATTTATTTGACATTCTTGGAGGTACGAAACAATTTCGTTTCTGGGTCCAATTATTCAGAAACCTCTTATTTATTTCCCTGATGATGTTCATAGTTCATTAAAATTCCATTTAATATGGAATTAATTCTCAGAATTTTGTATGTTCTTCAGCTAGTATATTCTTTAGTTTTAGCTAGTCAGCTTCTTCATTGTCTGTAATTTTGATACGTGATGGTATCCAAATAACAGAACCAAATTCAAACTACCAAACTTTTGCTCTAAATCCAAACTACCAAATTTTTCTCATGTGGAAAAATAGTTTATAATATTATAGAAACATAAATGAATATAAATTAATTCACTGCACTTGGAGATTATTTTCCTATAAAGAAATAGCAATTCGAAGCTTCTCTTACATAATTATATGCTGGGTGGTACCTTTTATGCTAAAATAGAAAAAGAAAATTATGTGTTCACGTGAGAAATAAATAAATAGAATTATTTTATTCTATGTGTATTATATTACTCGTCAATTAACTTCTGTCATTGAAGCAAATGACAACTGATAGTGCAAAGAGTTGAACGTATAGATATTTAAAATTATTAGAATATTTTTGAATAAAAAGTTCAAAGGTTCAAAGACTTTAACACTAAACTGGTACTTTGCACCTACCTATTCTTACCATGAGGGGTCATTTGACCCCTTATGAAATAACCGTTGATTTTCAGAAAGAAATTTTTAATTTATTAAAGGAAATTATTTGCCACATAATTTCTCATTTCTAATAAAATAATCAACCACATATTTCTACTTTAGTAAATTTATATGACCTGTCATTTTGGTTTATGGACTATTTCGTCAGAAAAATCCTTGATCCTTATGCTATCTAATTATAACACTATCTTCTCCATCTTCGTGATCTATTCAAATTAGAGATAAACGTAAACAGAGAACGAATTTATCCATATATTGCTACGAGGTGGGAGCATTTTTGAATCACCAAGAAGTGGTGGAAGTGGCTATTGATTAATGGTGTGTTTCTCTGGTAATGGAATTTCGTTCGGTGGAGTCGAGCACGGTTTCATTTATTTTTCACCGTTCAGCGTTGCAATTGCATACGTAATCCTCGTTGCGGTACCTACCATGCTTCCAACAAGCATGAATCATTCCCTCACGCTTCAACGCCGGGAACAGGGCTCGAGGTAGTGGTAAATTAATTTGAAACCCTACTCATCGAGTGGATAATTCCTGGGGAATCAGGTCATCCGACCGGGCGCGTGTAACCGTGTACCTGTGAATAATTCGTCTACCGATAGCAGCGCTGGAAAATGTAATTACACCGTCTGTAAATCATTGTGATTTCTGGTCACACTCGAGGTAATCAAATCTTCCCTACGCTACGCTGGATTTATGGTCCGAGTGCCAGTACCGATCGTGAGGCTTGATCGACTGTAAACTGTACGGTCGATGGAACCTGGAGTGAATGGTGGTTAGTTTCATTCTTCCAGTATTGTATCTGGGTTAGAGAAATTTTATTTTCTCGATGTTTCTGGGTTAGACGATTGTGTGATGAGATTTGTGATATTGGTAACGATGATGAAGAATTTTAGGCAATAATTATGTGAAATTTGGGAATTTTATTTTTCTGGAGCAGAAAGGTTTTGTTTTGGATTGTATTTTGGTTAGAGAAAATTTATTATTTCGTCGTTGTTTCAGAGTGAGACGAATGTGTGATGAGATTTGTGATATTGGTAGCGTTGATGAAGAATTTTAGGCAATAATTATGAAAAATTTGGGAGTTTTATTCTTTTGAAGATGAAAAATTTTGTTTTCGAATGTATTTTGGTTAGAGAAAATGTACTATTTCGTCGCTGTTTCAGAGTGAGACGAATGTGTGATGAGATTTGTGATATTGGTAGCGCTGATGAAGAATTTCAGGCAATAATTGTGAGAATTTTGGAAGTTTTATCCTTTTAGAGTAGTAAAAATTTGTTTTGGAATGTATTTTGGTTAGAGAAAATTTATTATTTCGTCGTTGTTTCAGAGTGAAACGAATGTGTGATGAGATTTGTGATATTGGTAGCGCTGATGAAGAATTTCAGGTAATAATTATGAGAATTTTGGAAGTTTCATCCTTTTGGAGTAGAAAAATTTTGTTTTGAATTATATTTTGGTTAGAGAAAATTTATTATATCGTCAATTTAGAATGTGACGAATGTGTGATGAGATTTCTGATATTGGTAGCGCTAATGAAGACTTTCAGGCAATAATTGTGAGAATTTTGGGAGTATTATTCTTGTAGAATAGAACAACGTTCTTTTCTTTTGAATTGTATCTATGTTAAAGTAATTTTATTTTGTTGTTGTTTAAGAATGAGGTGAATGTATGATGAGATTTGTGATATTAGTACCGCTGATGAAGAATTTCAATAATTGTGAGAATTTTTGGGGTTTTATTCTTTTGGAGAAGAAAAATTTTGATTTAGGTTGTATTTTAGTTAGAGAAAATTTGTTATATCCTTGATTTAAAATGAGATGAATGTGTGATGAGATTTGTGATATTGAAAGCGCTGTTGAAGAATTTCAAGCAATAATTGTAAGAATTTTTATAGCATTTTTCTTGTAGAATAAAACAGTAATGTTCTTTTGGTTTGGATTGTATCTGTGTTAGAGTAATTTTATTTTGTCGTCGTCATGGAATGAGGTGAATGTGTGACGAGGTTTGTGATATTGGAAGCACCGTTGACATGATTCACACAGTAATAGTGACAATTTTAGAAGCCTTATTCTCCTAGAGTAATATTTTGTGTAATTAAATTACTAATTATCATAGTCATATATTATTTTAGTAATAGGAATAATAAAAGTAATATTTTATATTTTATAATTACTATTACAATATTAGTATAATAGTAATATTTTTCTGTTCTTGTTTTATATAATGGTTTAGTAGTAAATTAGTTCTTGTAAAACCAGGAAGGTTTAATATTAGAATTATAATCCTTAAGGTATAGTGTTCAAGACTAAAATTATATTTTATTATGTCAACCAATTTAAATTTATGTGTTGTTCAAAGAAAAATTCTGAAATAGAAAATTTATCTTATAATTAGAGGGGTTGACAGTTAATTATCACGAAAAACGAATTATCTATAATGGAAATAATAATTTCTACATTCTACATTATATGTTAATATAGACCTACCTAAGATAGTGAATTTGAAATGTTATTATTTATTTATTTGTTAAATAAAAATATAGTGAAACATAGTCTACATGGAAACCTATTTAGTAACAATATTTTCAATATATGATCATTGTTCACTTAATAAAATTTTAACAATTACTATTACCTTCTGATATTTTCAATTCATCACTATTATTTCTTAATTTTTCTGTTACCAATATTTTCAATGGAATTATTATTTAGAGGTAATATTCAATATATAATAATTATTGAATAATAATATTTTTAGTGATAATGCTTTCAATATGCAATTGCTATTACAATACTTGACTACAATACTTACTATCGTCTATCATAAATGGATATACTTTAATTCAAAATTGAATAGCAAGTTGAAAACTATTTTCCTAAAATATTAGAAAATGGTAAATGGTACTTCGTGTGTTTCAATTGCTTGTATAATAAAGAAAAGCAAAACAAAAAAAAAGAGAGACACCGAATACCAAAATGGCATATCGTGATAATTATTTTAATTTTTCGAATAAAATTTCTAAAATCACGGAGTATTTTCTTACCACTTGTTTCCGAGATGTTGAAAAACGGCGTAAAAGGATTGCCCTCCGACACGAGACCGTACACGATTTCACGTGGCACCCCTTTATCTCCGTCTTCAGCATGCACTCGTAGTATTATATCTCCCTGAAATCAATGCACAATATTTTCCATTTATGAATTCTTTTATTAAAACTATTTTCTTCATTTAACTATTTTAATTTTAAATCTCCCATTACGAAACTTTATTATTTACAGAAACCAAATACAATTTCGAAAAGCTAAAAATAAAACAACAGATAAATAAATTTATTTTCACCCTATATATTATTTCATAACAAGTATAATACGTAAATAACATATATTAATATTCAAAAAATTAAATGAAGTTCATTCTGCTGTATTTAAATACCAATCTAGACTTAGGTGTCGCTAGCCACGAATATCACTAGATACAGATGTCGTTAGTTGTACACGTCACTAGACAAGCGTTAGGAAAGGCAACTTACTGGTTGTACTGAATTGTTAATCCTGGTAAGAGGAGGTGCTAAGGTAAAAATTGGAGGAACATCTTGAACATCTTGAACTATCACAACAACGCTTAAACCTGCAATATTTCTGGTGTCTTTCCCTGGTTCTGTATATGGATCCTAATGAACAAAGTATGTCGCTTAACCTCTCTGTCCAGCAGTACCAAAAGGTATTTTTATTTAAATTTTCCACTCTTACCGTGGCATACATGGTAAGAGTATACATAGACTGCGTCTCGAAATCTAATTCCCCTGTCAATATAATTACTCCTCGGGTTTGTGTGGGTGTTTGCCTTTGCCTTATAGTGAAAAGTTCTTTTGGCTGCTGTAATGACATTAATAAATTGCATTGTAATATGATTATGATTTAAGAGAAGTATACTGAATTTAATAACTACAGTTTTAGTATTATTTATTAACACTAGAACTACCAACCCAGTCAAAATGACTGGTCCCAGAATTTTCCCTTTTGCAATCACCGAACACATACACCTGTTTTAAGAATAAAATTGATATCAACTCATATTAAGAAAGGACTGTAATCAATATATTCACTCATATTCATTGTACTGCTGAAATTACTATAATCTGTGCACGTTATAATTAGGTACCCATTAAAGAGCAGTAGTTCTAATGTTAAGCTATATCTAAAAATATTTTGAGTACTTTAAAATACTATAACTTACCCAGAGTTCAATGTAAACCGGTTTTCCACTCCAAGAATTGGCTCTTACTAGAAGGTAATCTATTTCTTTGCCTGGTTTGGTATCCTATGCAAATGAATACAATTTGTAAAGTCAACTTTACCATGAATTGAAATAATATAGGATGCATCAAGTGTAATCTAAATTTGTGAAATTTAATTTTGTTAATTACTGATCATAATCCATATACATAGTTCTATATGTTATTCTCTATTGTATTATATATTATGTACTCCTCTTTATATCACTATTTCACAGATTAAATGGCCTTTCAGACATATGAAGATTAACAAATATATTTTGTTAATATAGTTTTTGGCTTCCTTGAATTACAACAGCAGTAATTTACTATAAAAATTAAATATTAAAATATTTAAATACCTATATATTCGAACTACGTTTACTTTTATTTATTAATTTTAATTATTTCAATTTATTACTAATAAATATTAATAAATTGTATTTATTACAATTAATTCATAAATGTTGTCATTTATATTAATAAATTCTCAAATTCTTCTACTGTAAAATAAAGGAGATAGAAACAATATTAAATTTGTGCAATATTTTTTAAAAAAACAAATACCAATCTATGAGGCTGGGAAAAGTGATTTAATTAAAAAATTAAGAATTTACAATTTGAAATCATTTTGATATTTATTTAATTATTTATAAATTAAAAAAGGAAATGGCAAACTGATTTAATTAAGAAATTAAGGATTAATAATTTGAAATTATTTTGATAAGTTTCCCATTTCCGTTTTTAATTTATAAATAATTAAATAAACATCTATAAATACAGTAAAATATATACATGTGTATAATAAAGAATGGAACATCGTTCCCTACAGTGATGTGAAAAATAGATAGACCTGCTTCTCATGAAGTACCTCTTAAAATTGTCAACGAGGTGGATGGTCACACTAAACATTGTTGTTAGCGCAATAAATAATTACCTCGGGTACCATTATGAGGGATGGTATGTGCGGGAATATTTTATCACGTGGGGTGGTTGCGTTTGTAACAGAAATAGTAGCTTGCATCGAGTTCGAGTCTCCCTTCGTGTCCCTAACCCTCACAGCAAAATCGTGAAGGCGTCCGGGAACTAGTCGTTTCGTTAGAATCACATTAGCTTGACACACTTTGTTATACAACGTGCACGGCAGGTTGTCGATCCTTACAACAGGTGTGATGGTAGCTACACAAATAAAGAATATACTCCGTTCGAGTCTGTTTATAATCAATTTTTAACTTCTAAAAATAGAAATAATATTTTTACGCGAATAAATAAATTATAAAACAAATTATAATATATAAATACACACATTAAATTATAATACATAAATTATAATAATCGCGAATTTCTTTGCAGAAAATTTGTTGGACAACCAAGTCCTTTTCTTTGGATAAATGAAATGAAACGTAACAATTTTTAAAAGCTTATCTGAATATAGTAATTGCGCTGTAGAACACTGTATATTTTATTTTGTATAACGTATGATAACGTTGCAAAATTTATCATGGCTAGTGATTTCTTGTGATATAATGTATGTACTCTTGCAGCAAGTAAGAAGGGTGCAAATTTATTTCACGTGGAAGGTAATAAAGGGTTCTCCAAGTTGATTAAAAGACCGATTTTCATTATGTTAAAGTTTTTAAACGAGTAGAGGGAGAATGTCAGTGGACCTTTTATTCGCATGTGTATGGTACATGTTACCGAAGTTCAAAAATGTATCTTTTTCGTCGCGTTTGAGTGAGTCACGCAAAGGTCGTTGAATATTATTATAGTAATATTTCTGGCACGCAATCACTTTTGAAATTCAAGTTATTTGGAATACGGCGAAACCTTCGGTGTCTGAATTAATACAGAGATAAGATCACTGAGATAATAGAGCTTTTTTGATTAGCATAACGCTCGACTTTACTTATAGTTGATGTTTCATATTTCTCAAGGTATTATAGTATGACTGGTAATAGTTGAGGGTGAAATTTAATCTAAATTTCACACTTTTTTATTTATTTATGCATCCAATTTTTATATATAAATCGTTGAGGAAGGGGAATATCTAAATAGTAAAGCGATTGGGTACTGAAATCTTCGAATTGTTCCGCATTTTGGTGATGAAATATGAGAATAATAAAACGTTTGGATAGGAAGATATTTGGATAATAAAATATACAAACAATGCTTATTTAATTATAAAATATTTAAATAATTGGATTATTAAATATAGCTGAAATAGTTAAAATTTGGATAATAGAAAATTTTGATGGTAGAAAATACTTATAATAAAATACCTAAATAGTAAGGTATTGAAACAATGAAATACTTGGATAGTGGAACCATGAAAATTATTTTAACAGTGATATATTCGAATAATAGGAGCCTTAGCTAGTGAAATATTTGAAAAATAACATATTTGTATGGTCAAGCATTAGAGGAGTAAAAATTACTATAGTTGGTCTTCAAATAATACAGGTTCTCCTATATCTGAAAATATTAGTCTTAAATTAAAAAGTAAAAATATTAGTCTTTGATATCCAAAGCTTAGCAACTAATTTTCTAAAACATAATATAAATCTCTAAAGCATTTATCGTTGTTAAAATAATATAAAAAAGAAAAGAAAAGAAGAAATGAGAATGATGTGATATTAATAATTATTTCAAAAGCAAGTAATACCTAATTGATACTCAAAACATAGCAATTGATGTTTTCTTTAAATAGTTTAAAATTTCAAAGCATTTATCGTCTTAGAATAATTTAAATAATAAAAGAAAAGAAGAAATGAGAAAGATGTGATATTAATAATTATTTCAAAAACAAGTAATACCTAATTGATACCTAAAATTTAGCAATTGATTTTCTCTTTAAATGGTTTAAAGCTTCAAGGCATTTATCGTCTTTAGAATAATTTAAAAAATAAAATAAAATAAGAAATGTGGAAAATGCTACATTACCAGTTATTTCAAAAACAAGTGGAAAGTCTGCATCCTGATCAGTGGCGCGAAGTCGAAAAATGACGGAATCTACTTCAGCATCTGCTGGAACCAGGACTAATCCCATATCCGTGGAGGTATCAAAGCGTGGACGAGCACCCTTCGCCCACGCGAAAACGAATCCGAAATAAATCCATACTTTGCACCATTCTCCTGCAAAGGGCATTCTGCGAACAGTGAATCACTTCTTCTAGAACTCTGCTTCAGATAAACACAAACATTTACTATACCAGTGATTTTCAACTTTCGTTATTTTATATAATTAATTTCTAAAATTGAATCAATACCAAAAAATATATTATATTTTTGCGAATATAATAAAAAGGAAATATGAGGAATAAATGTGATTTTGATTAATTTAAATATTTTGAAATTCAGCATCTTATACAATTACTTTGGAATTTTTATATTGTACAAAAATATTTTTGATCAGGATATTCGTTATTTTTATTTATTATTAGCATTGAAAAATTCTTAAAGAACAAGTTATGAATATGAAACGACAAAAATGTTCATCATTGGTAAATTGTTAATAAAAAATTTCAAATTTGAGGAAGTGCTATAAAATACTACAATGTAAAAGATTATTATTGAGAAATTCGTGAATAACAATTAATAAATACTAGAAAATGTATCAGAAAAATTCAAAAAACTATGATATAGTATAATAAAATAAAATTCACATATTGGGAAAGAATGTTATATTAGAATCGTCAATGTTAATATTACGAAGAATAATAAATTTTCTTCATAATCGGTGTTCGAATTTTACCAGTTTGTTTGTTAATGGAAAGATCGATATCTCGTTACACAGGTTCCCCTATTTCTTTTCTAAATATTGCAAGCAGGCGAGTTCAAACCCTATCAAACTGACTGACAGTCATTTCATTTATCGAGTGAGTAATTATTTAAAGGAGTTGGTGGCCATTCCTCGATACCGCGTGATAGGGCGCGCACCCTTCTTTCTGTCGACAGCAGTCTTAATTTACTTTGGATAAATTCATACAATGGTTCACTCTAATCTCGTTGATAAATATTTAAATAATTTTCATTCTAGTTTGAAGAATTTTTAATTACATTTTCTCTCTTTATCGAAATTTGTATTAAGCGTTGTGTATTTTTAAAATAATTAATTCTCATATTAAATATTAATTTTATATTCCAATATTTTACTGAGAGGGATGAATTATGTTTAAAATATCGTAACATGTTTATAAAATTTTCAATTTTTAATTTATAAAATTTCAAATATAAGTAAAATGTAATAAAATTATTTATCTTAGTTAAAATTTAATTATGATTCGATTTAATTCAATTTTAGGTATTTCAATTCTTTATTTATCTGATAAAACCGTCATAATGTTTTGTAAATAGGTAACGAAATAATTATAAATGGTACACATGTTACATATTTGTATAGAAAATTTGATAAGAAAGGAGATTAATTTAATTTTATAGAAATCATCTGCTTTTGCTGTCTTTTTACTATAGTTATATTTATATTTATTTATATTTATATATAGTATATTTATATTTATTTATATTTAT